ACCATCACAGCTGAATCCAACCTAAAATTTAACAAAGCATGCACATTTCCCCCCCCAAACAAAACCTTCTGTTAAATTTGCATTTATCACAAATGACAACTTGCAAAGCTCCTGTTACAAGCTACACCTTCCTTGCAAGAAAATGATGACAGTCAACTACTATTCACCATTCACCAACCCCACAGACTCATGCAGCATGTGGGAAAGGGGAAAAACAGACACAGCACCACCAAGTGGGCTCCTTTCACTCAAAAGCACAGGACAGAACATAATTAAGACACTGCTGCTCTGAGAGGGCAGATATCTCACATCCAATTGCATTTCCCTCAGTGTCTGCAGGGAGGCCACAAAGCCTGAATCATAAGCCGCAGCACTCTAATGGTCATATATCAGAGTGGACTCCTTTCAGAGATGACTTCATTTAATTAAATTTAATTAGTGCATTTCTTAATGGGCAAAGGGCTCATTTCTCATCCATAATGCAAATTCACCAGAAAATGAAAAAGTAGCAGAAAGTGAGTGAAGTGGGAGAAACACTGACTACTCATGGTTCTGGCCCAGGACATGAGTGTCCAGAAGATCCTACCCCTGAACAGTCCTACTGGCACATTCAGGGATTAGGCAAGGAACCACGCGATTGTTTAAGACAACAATCCAGAAGGTAGGAGGACACATTTGGTCAGTTCTAAAACAACTTCTCCTGCAGGCACGCCTCACGATCCCACTGCTCCCCTCCTCTCCCGCCTGCGTGATCACGGCCATCAGCAGAGCTCATGCTGGTGGCATCATTATTTACATCAACATGACATCAGTTAGTGGACTTCACTTTTGTACCCCCACAATAATTAAATTTGTAAAGGAAAAGTTTAATGAGAAAATGGGCAAAATCATGTAAATTTGTAAAGGAAAAGCAAAATGAGAAAATGGGCAAAATCACGATAAAAGAGAAAGTGACCAATGAACCGGCTGAGTGAAGGAAACGCAGCAGGAGCATCCTTTCATCTCATGATCTCTCACTTAATCATGTGGCGATCTGCTCCAGGTGACCTGCAAACTTTGCTATAGCACAACATTGGATAATGACAATGTGTAAAAATCACACACACCCCTGCTACTGAGTGTGCAATCTTTGCCAAAGCATTATTCATGTCTCCTGGCTTTCCAAAAAGTACTTCACTTCATTATGGAGCCATTCAGGGCTATTTATCATGGGTTTCAGAAAGTCCCAGTCCCCTGCAGGTTTAGGAACAGCATTAACAGGAAGAGTCCCTCAAGATCTCCAGGCCCTTCGATCTCCTGCTTCAGCAAGATTCCACTGTCCGGACTTAAATAATGACTGTGCAAGCTGGAAAGCAATGCAATCATCTTACCGAGTTCTTCAGTTCACCCCAAACAGTAGTGAGCATTATATGCAAAACAGTCCTTACAAAACTACAGCAGACCATACAAAATTTAGCTGAAATGATGCCACATTTTTGCAAGCTGAAAGGGAGCTTTCTCCTGTCTTCACGTTTAATTTAAACGCTGTCAGGATTCGCAGATGGCACTCCTCAGCGCTTCCTGCTGCGGACTGTGTCGCCACACGTCGCCATGTCTCTTGTGCTGAATTTAAACAAACGAACACAGCTCTGCGGTACCCTCCCCTCCAACACCAGGGGATGCAAACAAGAACCACTTGAATTCAGCTCCCAACAAAGTGACATACTTTTAAATGATGCTGGAAACGCATACCTATATGTTATACTGGATGAGGAAAAAAAAGGGTCAATAATATTTCACCCCATCATCCAGAGTGACAGCGTTCACCCTGTAGCAGGCTTTTAGCTGAACATCTCCGAGCTGGCCAATGGCAGCTGCAGGGCATTCTCTGTGATGCTCTTCCTGAAAAAGGCCTTGAGGCTTGTACCAATTCTCACCCACATGGGTCTAGCGTCACTGCATGGCCCTGCTCCCTTGGCCAAGTGCTTGCATCTGCATCTTGGAGGCAGAAAAATTCAGCTCAAAAACTGTTCCCGGTCTGGCAGAGGTCTAGCAGCCTGGACAGACTGCGGTCTTCTTTGGTTTGTTCCTGTCTTACACCTGATGTGCCAACACTGGACTGGAGGTTTTTTCACAAGTCAAATTATTTCATTCCAATTTGCAAGACAGGAAGCAGCCACATAGCTGAGCCCTGCTGGTCATTTAATTTCCCTTAAACCTCAAAGATGTTTTCCCTAGCGAGATGGGTCAGAATGACTGTTCAGAATTCGCTATGCAATAATGGCAATAAGGGAAATCTAGAGCTCGAGATGGACAGAAACCAGCTACTTGACCTTCCTCTGCAGCTGCACTGAAGTCACCCAAGAACAGAAGACCAAAGCAACACAGAAAGAAATCAAAGATTTGCATCTCTTTTCACTTGACAGATATTTCAAGCTGCTGGATAACTAATTTACCCTTCAGGTTTAAAACCGAACGTCAGAGCAAAGTGGGACTTCTGCCCACCTGCCCAGCCCTCCTCACAAGCATGGCCTCTGAGCCCCAGGCCCCGAGCACCGTGCAGACGCGCCAGCAGGGCGGCGCCAGGTGGCTCATGGAGAGAAAGGCCTGCAGAGAGACGAAGCTGGGAGCCTGCCCCAGACTGGCACCAGCCAAGAGTGCTCTGGACACTCCACCGAGTACACGTGCCTTTAACACCCGAACTCCTTCAGAAAGGGCACCTTGGACTGCCTTCCTCTCAATATCACCCATTTAACTGTACTTGTGATGAGGGGTTTGTCTTAAACACACTGTAATCCAGAGAGATTTTCAGGCACATTTTCGTTTTATGGGACTTCACACCCACGTGCATATCTGAACTTACACGAGCATAAATCACAGCGACATTTAATAAATAGCTTGTCAGAGAGTGAGTTTATCTGAAGTACACTGTGCGTTTCTGTGCAGATCCACAGAAATGCTGAAAATGCTGGTAATCTGCATTTAACACGATCCACCATCACAACATAGATGGTTAAAGCACAGAATCAGGCATAAAAAACAGAAAAACTTTCAAAAGAAACTGTTGCGATATCCAGATCTCCTATTTCACAATTGCTTCAGAGACCTTCTACACTGGAATCCCCACAATAATATGCTACCAATAAAAACAAGTATTGCACTCAAATTTCAAACATACAGAAGCCCAGCACAACCTGAGCATCACAGGCTTAAGACAGAAACACGTGTCTATATTTACTTTTCATCTTCATCTCTACAGTTTCAACAGGTCCCCATCTGAACGCGAAATGGAGTCCGACTTCCATCACTGAAGGTATAGCCGTAACTTCGTCATTGATGAAAACTTGTCATGTACAACATGACCGAAACCCACTTCCACAAAATACCTCAGACCTTGAAACAAGTGCAATACAATCTGCCGGTCACCACCCGTGCAGAAACGCCCGAGGGTAAAATACTTTTACCAGGTTAATTATTCCAAGAGAATCGTGAATTAGTACCCTACCCGTTCAATCATACTATAGTAAATAACTCTGCAACATATCTGTTATAAGAGTGCTAATAAACCGCTCTAGAGCTTGCTGCTACAAAGGCCCGTGTAGAAATATCACCATCTCATGCGTACACAATTAATTTAGGACACCGTAAATCAAGCGGACCGCTGGGTTAAGAAGATCAGAACCAATCTGACTGGCTCGTGGACGCGCTACTCACTAAACGGGAAATAAAAAATAAAGTTATTTTGTATTTGTTCATAAACGACGTAGAGTAATGCGCTATATTTCTCTGGGATACAAAATGCCTGAAAGGTTGACAGGACAGCTGTTGCACAATTTCCCTCACCAGTATGCCAAGGGTGTACGAGCAGCTAGTGACAGGAATACTGGCGGCGCAGATTGGGAAGGATAGCGAGCGACGAAACCAATTCAAGCCCGTATTTGAAAGCGGCTGTCAGCTCCAGCTCTGTATCTGCAGCTCCGGAGCTGACGAGACCGCCGAGGTTGTGTCAAGAGGCAATGAAATATTCATGTCATTTCCAGCGTGAGCTCAAAGAAATTATATCGCAAAAAAATCCTACCACACTCCCCCCGTGCAAAAACTGTGCAAAGGAAAACGGTGCCATTTACCACTCTGCAACAAAACAGAGCCAACAGAGTAACCGTGTGATTAACACACGGGCTGCGACCAGGTACCATCAGCAAAGGACACGGACACGCCGCTCTCGCCTCCTGGGGCTCGCCGTTTCCGTCTGCACAACGCAGGTAACGCACACCTGCCCCTGACAAACAGCCCCACAACGTCTCCTGCATACAGCGCTAGAGGGGTAGGTCTTGACGCCAGTTTTCAAACACGGGTCTGGGCAACGGTGGCAGCGCATCGCACCGCCACGCAGCCAATCTGACATTTCCGGGCGAGCTGCAGCAAGGAGACGCTCCCTGGCGTGTAAACACAATCGCCGGGTCCCACGGGGCGAAGTTCCCACATCCAGCGTCGAAATGAAATGAAATGAAATCCGCCGATGCTGGAAGGTGGTGTTCCCTTTCCTCCGCCGGCGACAAACAAGTTACCCCCTGCCGAGCGTGCAGTAAACACGCCGCCCGGGGAAACTGCTCTTCACCACCTAAAAGCGCGCACACATGCACCGGGAGAGACGGCAAATCCCATCCATAACAAAACTGTCCCCAGCCTACAGACTTGCATGTACGGACTCAGACACTGAGAAGCACCCCGGTGCCCCCACCTCTGCAAATCTTCGCCAAAGAGGCCATGTCTGTGCAGCGAGAGGCACCAGGAGCTGGCTGGCCGGCCTTTTCCCGAAACCTTTCCGCCAGGCTGGGGGCTCCAGCCCGCACACCGGCCGGGGGGAGTGGGCGGCGCCAGCACCGCGCCGCCCGATTCCTGCTCCGGCTCCAAACTCCCTGGGACGCGCCAGGGCTTTTGCCCGCACGCCTGCAGCCCCACGGAGGAGGCGAGCCCCCTGCGGGAGACGTGCAGTTCCACGCACGTTGCCACGGACTTACCTAGCTTGCCCCGGGACTCCTCCAGCTTCTGGATCTGGTTCTCCAGGAAGAGCATAGCCACCCCAAACGCCAGGACCGCCAGGAGCTGAAACTTGGGCGGCATCATAATCCGTAACAGCCCCATCAAACTATCAAATCACAACAAGTCATACCGCGATCATGGAACTGGGGAGGATGAAGAGTTGGGCTCCGCACACTGAGCGGGACCGCTTTCGGGACTTCAGCGGTTAGGATCTAACGCAACTCGGGTAACGCTGAGACGAAGCGAACATGTAGCAGCTGCTCTTGAGAACGAAATCGGAACACTGCGTGTCATAGGCGGACTGGGAACTCACATCCCAGCTCACTGGCCGCTGCACCGACTCAATCTCAGCCTGCTTCGCCGACCCTGAGCTGCCCAGCGCGGATGCAGCCCCTAAATCGCTCCCTTTTCTCGGCGAAGAGGCGGAGAATCCCCTGCGTCGCCCTGCAATCACACAGCCCCGATTTGCATGCCCGCCCCCCAGACGCGACCATTGAGCACCTCGCCGGCCGCAGGCCCAGGCGGACGAGCTCATTGGCTCAAACTGTTGTCAATTAAGAACGGTGCTCAACGATTGGATAGTTTATCTGCCACTCGCCCAATCCCAACAGGCCTTTCAGCCAGCGGGGTCCTGACGAGAGAGCACGGCGGATACATGCCTGATTGAAATATATACAAAAAAACAAAATGCTTTGACTTTTTTTAAAATATAAAAATAATGATTTTAGATTTTAAATAGTATTTTAGGTATATATATGCGGTATGGTATGTCTTTGTTACTATGGATGTTTTCAAAGCTTCGCATTTTTAAGTTGAGTAAACGCGCGATAAACGCATTTTAGTTATGGTTGGTGCGTAAAGTGTGTGCGGTTAACCGTAAAAGGTTAAGAAATGCACTGATCGTTGAACGACGAAAAAAATCAGGCACCGGTAACTGTCACTTCCTGTTCGTTCAAGGTCCTGCAAGCGGTCCTACGGCGGATTGCTTTGCAAGATGGCGGGCGAGGTGTATCTGTTTTGGCTTCTCCCAATATTGCAGGCGGTAAGTGTAACCGTCCGTCGTGCTTTGAAGAAATATGGCGCGTTTTGTTTTCCGCTTCTATGAAATAGCTGGAGAACGGGGAGAATGCAGAGGGATTTCGGCTCGGATTCGCGGGAGGATGCTCTTGGGAGACGCGGAAGTGGCGGCTGTGCCTCCTATTTCAGCTGTAATGCATGACGTGGCTGAATTAATCAGCCTCTGTTGCCGAGATGTGCATGAGAATAAGTTATTGTCGGTTGCGGTGTTTTTTTAGTAGTAATTCTCCAGGCTCGATGCGAGTGAAATACTTTAGATATATGTACATATTCAGACTTTGCATCGCTGCAGTAACATAGCGCGTTGCTTCGGAAGGGGACCTAATTCACCCTTCTTTCAAGTTCCACTACAAAGCAGATCAGCTGGAGAAATAAGAACCCATTTCACCAATTACGTGTAGAGGAAGAATAGGCCTGAGTAAGCCTGGAGTGGACTTTAGATAGGCCGCCGTGTTTAACACCATTCTCTGTCCGCATTCTCGGCGCTGGTCCGAAGAACATCGTCTTTATGTATTAATTATTATACATTTCTGCAATATATAGAAGAGAACAAGTTTTATTTTACAATTGCGTTCTAGCGGTAAATTCGCTTTGCAGTCGAAAATGTTATTGTGTAGGCTGTACTTATGCTCAGGGTGCACTACTGCTACAACGGAAGAATGGTATATAAAGTATGTGGTAATGAGTCAACATATCGCAGATACGCAAAGCACAGTGTATTAAATTCTAAGCAGTTACTCGATGCAAGAGGCTGAAAATTTCTTGAGACAGCAGGAATTGGAATGCCTAAAGTAAACTTTTCACGATGTGTCATCTCCGGGTGCTTAAAGATACAGTGATCAACAGAAGAGACGGATATAATCAAATCAGTGCAGTTAATTAAAGGATAAAAAAGCTAGAGAGTAGTAAGTTAAGATGGAATGTAGGTATAAGATCTAGCATGGGAGATCTTCCACAGTCTTGGTGCAACCGAACAGTCTCCTATGGTCTCCCTGTGTGAAGAGCCCTTGTCCTGGGATTAAGTGTAGATCAGCAGGGTGGTTACAGCCACTGCTCACTGCTGCACTCAGAAGGTAAACCTTAAAACACTACACTTGATTCTGAAGACTGTACATGGAAACTAAAATGGGCAATGCATGCTCATGCTTTAGTGCTTTAGCTGATTTCAGATTCTGCTACACCATGAAAACAACAGATTGGCTACACCAGTGAGAACTGCATTTCAATAATAAAACCAGGAAAAGTCAGAGGCATGTATGAACTTGTTTGCTTTAACTCAGGATACATTGCAAGATTTGCAATCGTAAATCGTAAGGCTTGTGTCCAGCAGTGCAAGAGAGATAAGAGACGCCAAGATTCATGACCTGAATCCTTTTCCTGGTCCCGACACCCCAAAAATCTAACAAAGGCTGACACATCTGCTGGACTGATAAGGGGAAAAAAAGTCACGTCAGGGTGAAATTTAGGGGGATAATGAGAAAATCAACATGAGAAGGATCTTTGGTCAATTCTTTGAACTTATATTAGCCATAATATGTCTTTTTCTCCGGAATATTACTATCATCGGAGAATTATCATGTGATATGATCCTATTGTCCTACCATACTGCAGAAATTAACAACACTTGTATTTACCTGGTCAGTGTGGATGCCAGTACATTAATTATTGTTTTGCTTTCCTATAGATAGGCTATAGGTAGCCTAGATTTACATGATAATTTGAGGTTATAGTCAGAAAACTTAGTTTATCTTATGACTGTCATAACACTTATTGTCATTTATTATCTGCTTATCCAATTTACATTGTTGCCAGAGTTGGATTAAAACACCCTGATGTGCTTTTCAAGCATCTCAGAAGGAGGGCATGAGGACAGGAAGTCATCCAGCCTGTCTCAGTCATTTGGTTTCTGGGAGTTCATAAATCTGAGGCTTTCTGCCAGCCATTTCTGAACTCATCCCAGTGAGCCTGCTTCCACAGTCTGGCTGGACAGCTTTTTCAGCCAGCTGCAGTCCTTTATATATCCATAATAAAACTGTGGTTTCCTTTTTCGACTGTTTCATTGCTCAAAGGCAAACAAAGGTGCTCATTTAAAGAATCTGCTTGAATGTAATTTGGAAATGCATCCAGCAGAGTCCTGCCTAGGAAGTTTTCCTTTTAATGAGGATGATATTTTGCAGTGAAATGCAAATCAGTTTTCCTGCACTGTGAATCAGACCAGGGTGGCCTGTGGGGAAGCCATTTGTGCAACGAGAGCCAGCTGGAGGTACAAACTATTGCGGTCGGTAGATTTTAGTTTAGCAAAATGTATTCAGGAAAAGGGTGCTTTTTATTCACAGTTAACAATAATTATTAGAGCTGAGCTCACCATACCCCACAACTCTCCATTCTGTTGGGAAGAATATTATCGAGGCACCACGTTCAGTATTTGGTGAGAATAAATTTGCAGCTGCACACAATATCAGCTCTGCCTGAGGCACTGGTGAGGGGCCACTCAGCAGCCGAGATGTTCAGTGAACAGCAGCTCACTGTCTTGGGTATTTAGCAGCGTGTTGACTGGGAAAGGGAACTGGCCGAAAGACTCTTCAAAGGGATATCACCTGCCAAAAACTATAGCATGAGAATGCAGAGAAGTCCTTACACTGCTTCCCTCCTACGTGATTGCTGTTTATTGCAGATATAGGCAGGTTTCCATTGGAGTCTTCGTTTGTTCTCTGTCTCAAAGGTATTGTTGAACTTTAACTGAAATGCCTGCCTGCATTGAGAATCCCTGTACTCTCTGTCTTTGCATGCGGTTTTGTGTTTGTCTGTGATTGATTTCAGCAGTGATACGCTCTGGAAATTGGTCTTTGTTCTACAAAGTAGCCAGCTGGTTTATTATAAAGTTCTAAAATAAGTTTCCGATATGAATAAGTCATTATCCTAATTGCTTCTAACGACATCCTCATCATATTGAAATGACTGCTGTCCCTTCAATCAGTAGGCCGGGAGACTAGAATTTACTGGAAGAGTAAGTTTTTCATTTTGAGTTTCTAGTCAACAGGAAATGAACCGCTAGCTATGTCTACTGAGAAACAAGTCAAAGAAGAGGCGTTTGCAGCCGTGTCATACTACCTGGTTGGAAACAAGTGTTCTTGGCAACCTGGGCCTGAGCATCAATTACCCTCTAACTCGGCAGATATTTTACTGGATCAAGAATGTGGAATTATTTTTAGAGCTGTGGGCAGTTTTGAACTGTATTTCATAAAGGGAATGTATCGCTTGTTAAGATATCTTTTCAGTTTACAGGACCGGTACCTTAATAAATGGGCTTGTTTACAGGTTTGTCAGCTTTCTCACTGGCTGCCTTTACAGCTCGTGTTTGCGATCGCCAGGCTCTGCGTGTGCCGAGCTGTTGATGATGGAAATGTTGTCAGGCTGGACAGCAGGACCTCAGCAGCTGGTGCAGAGAGAAAGCCGTTTATTTTTTATCTAATGGATTTGTCAGCGGTATTGTGAATTCTCGGAAACAGCCTTGTATTTTGGTCTCATTCAAGAAGGATGTGAGCTGAAACCCAAGCCTTATCAATCTTTCTCTCTCTTTCTCGGCACAGCAACAAGTGCCCCAGGTTTCCAGATCATCATCTTCGAAGATCAAAATGTAAAAAGTTTTTGTGGCAAGCTTTTGTAGAATAAAACATGGAAAATCTGCTTTAGCGAGCTTATCAGTTAAAATGTGTGACCATGCAATTCTGCACTGTATGGGATTGTTTTAATTGGCATAACGCTTATTTGGTAACTACACGGCAATCTTGAGAGACAGGGGCTTGTATACATTTTAATGTATACAAGGAAAGGTTGTGTTTAACAAGATAATGATTAAGACAGTTTTATATATTTTCCTCTGTAGTGGACAGGTCCTTTTATGCAAGTGCAGACATGTATAGTTTTTCCCATTTTACATTTCATTGACTTCAGAGCTCAAGAGTCCTTTATCTTGAAGCAGTGAAATGTTTTTGCCTGTTTGTGAGCCAGCAGGAAACAAAGTGTTGTCTTCATTACTGCTCTGTATGCATGTGTGCACGTCCTGTGTTTGGATTCTGGGATCAGTTCTGGCTACAGTTGTGCATGGGTGGGTCCTACAGTGGGGGACTCATGTTCTACAATTCCACTGTGTGCCAGCAGATATTTGTAAGGTTTATGGAAGCACAATAAAATCAACATATTACGAGCAAGATAACTCTTTACTGATGGATGAAAGGGGATGCAAAGTCAGTTTGAAGCAGTTGGCATAAAATTAATCATTGTTTTTACATTATGAGCATAATGTAAATTCTATGAACACGTAGCACTCTTGAAGGGAGTTTCCAGCACAACCGGCACTGCAAAACATAGTCACCTTTGGAAAATGCTGTAGTAAAAGTGCATGCTCTTAAGCAACAAAACTAAACAATCTTCTACATAACCTAGTTAAATTAGTAATAATTAAATAACGTATTTCTATATCAGTTAAGAAATTTGTAATGAAAAATCTACCCACCGGTACGTCTTTATGAAGCAGCACTTCACAGTGATGGTTTTCAAGGATTGCCTGAAGTCTCAAATTTACAAGTTGAAAACTTGCCAGGATCTGTAATTTGTGATACACTGACTGACCTATATCTGTGGGTGTTCTTAGAAATATTCTGTAATTAAACTTGGGAATTTATATTAGTTTGACTGGGGAAAACAGATGAATAAGGTAATTTAGCATTCTGTGCATAGTTAAAAGGGGCAGTGGAGAGTCAAGTACTTGCCATTGGCTGTTTGTTTCTTCGTATTGCTTTCAGTCTTGGCTGGATAATCCCATTCTGTTGACCTCTATTGGTCCTGTTGTATTTTTGTGTCCATGGTCAAATCTTTATTGTACATCTTTCATTTGCCTGAACCATGAAATCCTTCCTTTAAGAATATCATCCTGTGATGCACTGACATCTCCTTGTTCATGTTTTCTGTTCCTCTAGATTTCGTCCTATGGGGCAGAGCTGTCTTCAGAGGCGTGTCGAGAGCTGGGCTTCTCCAGCAACCTCCTTTGCAGTTCCTGTGACCTTCTGGGGCAATTCAGCCTGTCCCAGCTGGACCCTTTCTGCAGACAGTGCTGTCAGGAAGAGGCGCAGTTAGAAACCAGAAAGGTAGGCATGTGTTCTGTGATGGAAGAAAAAGTCCATTGTGGTTACACTTCTTACTTGTTCAGATCTTTTTTCCCCAAACCTAAATCTATGTGCTTTTACTAAAACAATATTTAAAGGATTCTGTGTGTTATTAGATCTGACTTAATCACTAAAAGGAGCTGAGAGTGAGCGGCACACAACTGAGAGGTAGGTCTTCTACTTCTGAAGAACATGCGTAACACTGAAATGTGCCCCACCTTCATTTCCTCTCACTCAGCTCTGAGGAATTGGTGCCACGGCAGCTGTTAGTATAGTAGAACTCAGGAGCAGTTGTTAGTATTACAGCAAAGCCTGTTTAAAGCTTAAACACAACAAAACAAGATGTATAAAAAGTTGAATGGCAGATTGCACAAATTACTGTTTTATTTCATTAGGGAGAGCAATATTGTCAGGCACTCACAATGTTTCTAGAAGCTCAAGTCAGAGGAGTTAGTATTTTCTACTGCAACATGGTAAGTCTGACAGTGCTTCAGTGTTGGGGAAAAGCTAAAGTCAGTTCTTAGGTCCTTTTGCACAATCTCAGAATACAAGTGAGCTCTAAATTATTTTTCACTCATTCTTCTGTTGCTGCTGGTGTAAATCAGGCTTTTACACAATCTCAGAATACACAATCACAATTGTGTATTTTTACTTAACTGGTTCCATTCTGCTTTTCTTAGTACCACCATCCATATCTCCTCTGTATATTGAAATTGTGTTTTATCTTGTGTATTCTTTTTATTTATTGTTGTTGTCATGCTGTAAAGAGCTTTGAGAAGCCACCTTTAAAGGCGCTATATTAAATAAAGTTTATTATTATTATTATTATTATCATTATTATATTTGCCAGACCTTCATGCCCAACAGCTCAGATCACAAATCCTGAAATCTTAAGTCCCTATCAGTAGCTGTGCAGTGACTGTAAAGCCTAGAATGTAAAATTTGTTGAACTGAATGTGCGTATATACATTGCCTATCAAAAATTATATTTTGTACAAGAAAGCGATGCAGGAAATAGGCTTGATTTATATTCCTTCCTTATTGTCAAGCACAGTCATGTCCTCGTGAGCAGGCATGTGGAGAGAAGCATTGCTAATAGCTGTCTTTGGAGAAAAGCCAACCGCAGTCTTTAAAACATGTTTTCTTTTGTTTTATAATATGTAGATGTAGGTAAACACTCTCCTTAGAGTCTGAAATGGTGAGAGACTGCATGAGTAAAGCCTGGAATTAAAATTAAATGATTTTGCAGAAATTTCTATTGAATTCAATTGTACAATTAACAAAGAGATCTGAGTTTATCTAGCATTTCCTGTTACTTTTTTATTTTTAATGTCACTTAATATTTGTTGGAAATCTAAGGATATGCCCTGAAGCACGTTTTGTTTTGTCTGCGATGGTATGCAATATTTACTGCTGCCTCTGGGTATGGTTAGTTGAAAGTCAAATAATTTCATGCAACTTGGATGAACTCCACAAGCAATTCTTATTTTTAACTCGGATTGAATTTTAGTTCTGATCAAAATCCAAGAACCTTTGTATTCAGACAGCGGAGGTACCAGAATATCTGCCGATACCACTTACTGATGTCTCATTGAGAACTGCATGAACAGTTTCACAGTTTCTCACGCAAAGTAATGGCATTGTACGCCAGAAGTAGTCATGTCATTGCCAGCTTGAGCTGACATACAAAAGAGAAAGATATCAAGGTTTCTGTGCAGATTGCCTACAAGCAGAACTGTTCCTGAAAAGCCAAGTGCTTTCAAGCAAAGGTAACAAAAGGCATTTCGTCAAAAACATTGACTAAACCAACCCAGAGGGCATCTTCGCAATTAACAAGGAAACATTAGCCAGCAGACACAACTGAAAATTAAGGGAAAGTGCATTAAAAAACGGTAACAGGAGGCACTAATTTTATACAAGGGGTTGTGTGAGTCTGAAACAACCTTCCCAGCCATGTTGCTGACGCAGAAACCATGGGGTCTGTAAACCTGCTGGGTGAGGTTCTCTTATGACCAATTAGTTAATAAGCTACTAAAAGGACTTAATGTCTCCAGTCTTTTCTAGTCTAATTTTGGGTATTTGTCTCTCGTACATTAAGGGCAGCAGATTGGCATGATGCTTAGACCTGCTGCCTCACGGCTCTGCTGCCTGGGTTTGAAGGACAAGCTTCAGGCTGAGCCGCTGTCCCTGAAGTGCTCCGGGTGTCAGTGTGCGTGCCGCACAGCAGGCCAGCATCTCCACGAAGTGTAGTTCTGCCCTGTGCTTCCAGGAAGGGCTCCAGGTCGCTGCAGCACATACCAGGTGGCTCTCTGATGGGTTGTCACTGAAAGAGTGCTTGAGGCCTCTCAGCCTTATGTTTGACAGATCTTATTGGTTCGGTGCCAGCTGCTCTGGTTTCCCTGCGCTCCCAGAGAGTTTTCTGCGGAGCTGTAAATAGTTCCATAGATTTTTTTTTAAACCATCATACAGGCAATCTTTTAAATTGAAGAAGATTGAATCGGTGTAGGTGTTAATTGGTTTTAATTTAATTAGTAAAAGTGATTCAGATTGAAACCTGAAAACTATATGACCTTGTTTCCTCCCCAGAAATCTAGCTTTCATCCTCACACAATAACCACAAGGTCTGGATTTGGTGATAGATTGGGAGCATTTTGTATGTTCTGGCAGGGTACCCTGTATCCTCTGGGTCTGTACTAGCTTTGGTTGTTGAAAATTCAGTTCTACTGTCACAATTTCTTCCTGCCTTTGTCTTTTATTTTGACTGGAAAGGAGAGTATAATCTTTGGCTGAAGGCTGCGTTTTTTCCTCATCTTACTCTGGTATCGTAGCAACAGTTTATTGGAGAAGTGATGAAAGGAAAGCTAACATAGTTCATTGCACATTTTGATTATACCCTAGTTCATTTTTTCGGGAGGGAGGTGAGTTTTTTTCCAAATCTTGTTAAGGTCTACGTCGCAGAGATCGTGACTGGGATATGAGAAATGTTCCCCCCCCCCTGCGAGCCAACAAGATGGGGTCAGAAGGAGTCAACTAATGCATTTACTTAGAATTACAAAGCGGGAACTAATTTACCAGTGAGTGGAGGACAGATCGCCTCTTTGCTGCTTGGCATTTCAGTGTGTTGTGTAGCTGAAGATGGAGGCAAATCCCATAGGAAAGCTCTGGTCTGAAGAGGTTTTAACACTTACAGAGGACAATAAGGATTTTCCCCTCTGGTTAACTAACAGTAATGACACTGGATTTCAGTTGCACTGTATTAAGCACTCTCTCTGTTACACCACGCTTCAGTGTTTCCTATTATTCAGGGCTTGTTGGGGTGTCCTGGGTCTCGAGAGAAACTGCATCAGGGGTTCCTGCCTGTTTTTAGTACAGCCGAACATCCTGCTGCACTGTGCAAAGGCCCCTGTGACTCAGAATCACTCATGCATGGGGGTTTCATTTTGAGACTCACTCCACACAACACATTTAAAATCATAAGGCTTCGTGTGCTGAAAAGTCTTGTAAACGTCAAAATACAATGAAAAGAAAAGGATATTTCAGCTGCGGCTTCAGGTCTGTGAGGAACCAGAGGAAAATTTCATGTGAAATCTATTTTTCTTTCTTTTCACTGTCTGGGGCAAATTCACTTTTTCTGCAGCTCTGCACCCTGACAGCTCCTACTCAGCGCTCTTGTGAAGCGCGGCGTCATGTGGTTACCGAGAGCTGGCTGGGCAGTATCTGGAGCAGCCCCTGTGCCCTGCTCTCAAAGCGTTCGATTCAGCCTCCAGCATCCATAATTTAAAATGTTCCCATTAAAAAGCATGTGCAGTAAGGAAGTAGGGAGAAATCACAAATCCAAGAGGGAATTCTCTCCGTTTCTGGGACTCGATTCATCTCTTTTTCCTTTTCTCTGAGGAACACTTCCTCCAAGAGCCCATCTTTATAGTCCCACAGTGTGGCACTGACATGGTAAACGGCCCTGAAGGTAACCCAGATTTTCATCCCTGGTGTCAACGCCTCTCTGGTGGTTAGAAGAAGGAGAAGGCAGCCTTTTCTGTTGATCAGCTTCTTTACAGATGTACGTTGTGATAGTTACCGAGTACGTCTGTGTAATACAGAAAAGCACGTTTGTCTTCTGTTCTGCCGATAGTTTTCGGAGGCACTGCTCTCCGTTCTCTGAGCAGGGGAGGGGGGAGCTGATTGAACATCCCTTTAGAGAAACATTATTACCTCTCAGTGATGCAACAGGAGCACAAATAATTGTCTGGGCAAATGGTGCGTGAAGATGCTGGCTCTTGGGTATTTACAGACTCGCAACAGTGTCGGCCTTCCGGATTGTTTTGGTATTTTTAGGTTTGTTCCTTTGAAACTGCCGTGCTGCACTGTTTAGAAGATGAGATTGAACGCTTAGAATTTTGTGAGCCGGATCCGTTCTGCTCAGTGTGTCCCTGCCTCACCGCTGCTTCAGCTCTTCGGGAAGAAGAGTCCGGGGGGGACGTGGTGCGGCCTGCAGCCAGGACCCACAGGGACGTGGGCCCTTGAAATCCCTGGCCATGAGGAAAACAGGACCTCTGTCAGATTCTCCCTTCGGCACCCCGAGTGACGGCACAGTGAATCAAAACGTTTAGGACCGTTTTCGGCCTGTGATTCTTCATCGCAAGCCGGTGCATTTTATAAAATTTCAAGTCACATAAGATTCGCACGGCGGCAGTGAATTTAGCTGGTAGGACACGGCTGGGGAGAGGCCGGCCTTGCTGAGATCAGCTGTCCTGCTCTGTGGCGGCTCTGTGATTGACGGACGGGTCAGAAGCGAAGGCAGCGCGTTGAGTGAGGAGCCGGGGGGGACTCTGATTGTGAAAGCTCCTGTGGGGAATATCAGTGTGAGGAGATTAGCTCGGGAGGAGCAGGGGTCGCTGGAGAATCTAATAAAAGGAAACATGCCATTCTTGTTTTCAGGTCCGTGGTAACTCAATTCTCTTGTAGGCTACAGTGCTGCCGTAAAA